GGGGCTAATTCTGGCCCAGCCCCGTGCTGCTGGGTGACCATAAGGCCAGTGACTTAAAGTCTCTGAGCCTCAGTTTCCCCATCTGTAAATGGAGAGGGTGGCATTCACCAGCCTGGTGAGAACTAAACGTGATAATGGTTGGGTAAGTGGCCAGCCCTGTGGCTGGCACATCCCAGGCTGCCAACAAATGGCAGTTCTTCTTAGCGCCTTTGCCTGAGTTGGCACCTGCCTGCATCCTCGCAAGGTTCCACCAGCAGAGATTTTTGCACAGCCTTTTCTCCCTTTTAAGAAGATTTCTGATTTTAACAAATTGGGGCTTAGCCATTTTCTCTCTCTTCTGGCTCCCATCGGGTAGGATGTTGGCTTGCTCAGTCAGTCCCCGAATAGCTCCCACATGTGGGAATGCCCGGAGCCACAGACATGGGTGACGTCACCTTCCTCTAGGATGAGGGCTTGGGCAGGGCGTGTTGCTGTGGGTCGGGCTACTGCCTTTGGAGGGGCTCAGAGCTGGATGGCATTGGTGGGTTGACCCAGGGTAGGCCTCCTCCAGGGGCAGCTGCTGGCATATCTGGCCTGGTGTGGTACCATACCTCCCTGAATGGCCAAGCTCCATGGGCCCACCAGGAGTGCCAGCCTGGGTGACATGGCCCCTGTACAGGCCTCCCACCTCAGTGAGGAAGGCAGGGCAGAGACCATCTTCCTCTTTACAGGATCCCAAGGCCCAGAGAAGTTATGTGACTTGTCCAAGGCCACTCAGCATTGTGAGTGGCAAGGGTGCAGCTAGAATCCAGGAATTCTGGGTTTTAGTTCCACTGAACACCTGCTATGTGGCAGGCCCCAGTCTAGGTTCCAGGAGTGCAAAGGTCTGTGCCCTTAAGGATGTGAGTCAGCTATAGGGGTCTCTCCTCAATGAAATGTGTTTCTCTCTGCCTCTTCCTAAAAGAGCTCAGTCTTTCAACACAGACCTGGATTCAAATCCTGGACATGTGCTATTGAGCTGTATGGCCTTGAGCAGTAGCCCCTTTTTTGGAAAGTGGGGTTATAATTCCTTTTGCTGAGGGTGGAGGTGGAGGATTCAGTTAGGCACAGACATGGCCCCCGGGGGCTCTTTGGTCCACACTGGTCCGTGTCAGGCTTTGCCATGCTATTTCTTTTGAGAGTTCGGTGGCTATGGGTTTGTAGAAACCCCTTAGAGCTGGGCCCATGACCCACTGCCCCTCTTGCTCTGGGCTGGACCAGGCATTCAGCTCTGCCAAGATGCTCTCCGCTGTTCCTGGGGTAGTAATGATGCGGAGCCGGGTGGGAGGACATTTTGGCACAAGACACCAGACTGGTCCACGCTGTGTGCCAGTGATGGAAAGATCCCTCAGAGTGAAATGAAACTGATGTGAGTGAAGAGCAAGTCCAGGATGGAGGCTGAGTCACGAGGGTTTCCTCTTGGGTGGAGGGGACCATCTCTCATGCTTCTGTCCTCAGCAGCTCGGCAGAACGTGCCTCTCTCGCAAAATGGATACTTCTTTCCCCTTCCATAAAAATGACTCCAAAGCAACTCTCAGGAGTGTAAAAAGGGGTAAATGGAGGCGGAGAAGAAAATGAACATTTATGAAGGGGCTACAACTAGTGCTTTCACACACCTCTTCTTGTCTAATCCTCACAACAATCCTTGTTTTACAGATGACTGACCCAAGGATCAAAGAGGTTAGGTGACTTGCCCAGGGTCTCACAGCCAGGAAATAGTGGACTTGGGGCTTGAACACATGATTTTGCAGATCACCTCCTGGCTTGGGGCTCTTTCAAGCAAAAAAAGCTGTTCTTGTTCTCTCCCCCCTTGCCCACCCCACCCCTTTTAGTTTTATGCCACCCTCACGGTCCCACTAGCCTTACCAGAGCCTCAGTGGATGCTTTGAGCTCTGCAGGGAGGAGAGGGAGGGGGAGGCTCTCAGCTTAGATGCAGAAGCCTGTTGAACCTCCATGAGCCCTGGGTACGTTGACAGGGAAGACTGGGCTCTGGGGCCGAGGATGGTCTCCCGTGGGCCCTGGAGGGGTCAGCTGATCAGTCAACAGACACGCTTTGGTGTTCTTGTTCCAGCTCTGCAGCTTCTTGGCTGTACAACCTAGATGACAAAGTTGACTTCCGTGAGCCTCAGTCTCCAGATCTGTGAATAGGGATGAGGATGTGTGTCATGAGGAGCCAATGAGACAAGACCCAGCGCTGGGCTCATGGTAAAGGGCTGGGGAAGTGCCAGCTGTTCGTATCGTTAATTTTCTCATTGTATAATCTGAAAACTCCAAACACAGACTTAGTCACCAAGGCCCAGAGGACTAGATAGAGTCGCTGACCTTGTGCTCCTTCCTGGCCAGATCATCTGTTGCCGGCCTGGCCAGCAGGCGTCTTCCTGGGCCCATCCCGTTTCATGCGCATTCCAGTGCCTCCTGCCCCCCTCACCTCTGTTGGTCCCACTCCATGGCTATCCCAGAACCCTGCCACCCCTTGCTTCTCAAGCCCTTGGTCTTTTGTGGATAACTACTCATGAGGGTCGACAGGTGCCAGGTTGGCTCTCGGGGTTCAATACTTAACAAGACACGGAGCTCACAGGCTGGTCAGGGAGGCAGGCGTTGACCAAGTTATGACAGGTATGATGAGAATTTTATAGGAGACAAAACCACACACGTGTCCTGGATTTGACCCGCCAACCTGGCTGAGTCTCCCATTCCTTCTGCCTGTTCCCCCGCCCTCTATTCCCTGCGGGTTCACCTCGCCTTCACTTCTTTCATCTTCCCTTGTATCTATCTCCCAGCTGCCCGCCGCCTCTTATATATGGCAGCATAGCCTGGTGTTAGGAGAACAGGCTTCCACATGACAGAGCTGGGTTTGAATCCTGACTGTCATGTGTGGCTTTAGGTAAGTTGCTTTAATGCTTTGATTCTATTTCCTTGGGGGTTAATCCTAACCCTATTTCTGGGGCAGTTGTGAGGATTGAATGAGGCACCACTGTATGGAAAGCATGTGACATGGATTGTGGCCCATGCTGAGCACCAGTAAAGATTGTGGGTGAAGAGAAAGGCCCTGGACTAGGACTGAGGAAACTTGGTTTCTGGGCCTGTGTTTTTTCATCTGGAAAATGGGAGAAGTGAGGTTGAGGACGATGACAATTTCTCCACTGGCCATTTTAAGGGAGGAGGGTCATGAGGACCAGATGGAATTAGGAGTGAGGGGGAAGAAAGCTGTGATGCCCAGAGTGAAGGAGCGCTTGGCTGATCGGTGGGTGCGTTTTCGAGGGGGGTGGTGGTGGGCTGGAGAGGTTTTGTTTTTTTTTTTAACGTTCTGCTTTCTTTCACTCTTTTTTTTTTTTAAATAAATTTCTTTGTTTATTTTTTGGCTGCGTTGGGTTTTCGTTGCTGGGTGCAGGCTTTCTCTAGTTATGGCGAGCAGAGGCTACTCTTCATTGCAGTGAGTGGGCTTCTCATTGCGGTGGCTTCTCTTGTTGTGGAGCACGGGCTCTAGGCATGTGGGCTTCAGTAGTTGTGGCACACGGGCTCAGTAGTTGTGGCTTGCGGGCTCTAGAGCGCAGGCTCAGTAGCTGTGGCTTAGTTGCTCTGCAGCATGTGGGATCCTCCCAGACCAGGGCTCAAACCCGTGTACCCTGCATTGGCAGGCAGATTCTCAACCACTGCACCACCAGGGAAGTCCGGCTGGAGAGGTTTTATCTTCCTACCCAGGAGTGAAAACCCGTGAAGGCATTGTGGCTAAGTGGATTTTCTCACTATCAGGAGATGGCTGAGACGGACCCTCCCGGCCAGCCTCCCTCCCTGCAGGCCAGCCCTTGGCATGAGGCCTGTTCGGCTCCTGAACCCTCCTAGCAGCAGGGATTTAATTACTATAATGTCAGTAGCCATGGCTCGAGGCTTTCTGGTGGAGGGGAAACAGATTTGTCTTCTCACTGGGAGAATAAAAATCGATGGGAAGGAAAGGAAATGTACCTTCCTCTGAAGTACCCACTGCTGTTGGGCTGATGGGTAGCTTTGCTGGAGGTGGGGAGAGAGGAGCCTGGACAGCAGAGGGGAGGAGACACAGGGTCCACTTCAAGGACCCTTGGTTCTTGCTTTTGTCTTCTGTGCCATGACTCAGCTGAGCTGCCTTTGTTTCCCCAGATCAGCCTACCAGTCATATATCAAGCAACAACTGTATGCCTGGCACTGCTCTTTAGAAATTTCTAGCAGAGTAGGGAGGCCAGGCCGAAAAATACGTAACTTTATTCATTCAATAAATAGTTATTGAACATCTATTTTGTGCCAGCATTGTTCTAGACACCACAGATATAGTACAAAGAAACCATAAAAGATAAAAAACCCTGGGCTCTGGAACATATATATATATTTTTTGAATTTTATTTTATTTTATTTTTTTATACCACAGGTTCTTATGTTATCTGTTTTATACATATTAGTGTATATATGTCAATCCCAATCTCCCAATTCATCCCACCACCACCACCATCACCACCCTTGCTTTCCCCCCTTGGTGTCCATATGTTTGTTTCCTACATCTGTGTCTCTATTTCTGCCTTGCAAACCGGTTCATCTGTACCATTTTTCTAGATTCCACATATATGCGTTAATATGTGATATTTGTTTTTCTCATTCTGACTTACTTCACTCTGTATGACAGCCTCTAGGTCCATCCACATCTCTACAAATGACCCAATTTCGTTCCTTTTTATGGCTGAGTAATATTCCATTGTATGTATGTGCCACATCTTCTTTATCCATTCATCTGTCGATGGGCATTTAGGTTGCTTCCATGACCTGGCTATTGTGAATAGTGCTGCAATGAACATTAGGGTGCATGTGTCTTTTTGAATTATGGTTTTCTCGGGGTATAGGCCCAGTAGTGGGATTGCTGGGTCATATGGTAATTCTATTTTTAGTTTTTTAAGGAAACTCCGTGCTGTTCTCCATAGGGGCTGTATCAATTTACATTCCCACCAACAGTGTAAGAGGGTTCCCTTTTCTCCACACCCTTGCCAGCATTTGTTGTTTGTAGATTATCTGATGATGCCCATTCTAACTGGTGTGAGGTGATACCTCATTGTAGTTTTATTTATTTATTTATTTATATTTATTTTTGGCTGCATTGGATCTTCATTGCTGCATGTGGGCTTTCTCTAGTTGTGGTGAGCAGGGGCTACTCTTCATTGTGGTGTGCGGGCTTCTCATTGCGGTGGCTTCTCTTGTTGTGGAACATGGGCTCTAGGCGCGCAGGCTTCAGTAGTTGTGGCATGTGGGCTCAGTAGTTGTGGCTCATGGGCTCTAGAGTGCAGGCTCAGTAGTTACGGTGTGCACGGGCTTAGTTGCTTTGCGGCATGTGGGATTTTCCTGGACCAGGGCTTGAACTCGTGTTCCCTGCATTGGCAGGCGGATTCTTAACCACTCTGCCACGAGGGAAGCCCCCATTGTAGTTTTGATTTGCATTTATCTAATGATTAGTGATGTTCAACAGCTTTCATGTGCCTCTTGACCATCTGTATGTTTTCTTTGGAGAAATGTCTACTTAGGTCTTCTGCCCATTTTTGGATTGGGTTGTTTTATTAATATTGAGCTGCATGAGCTGTTTATATGTTTTGGAGATTAATCCTTTGTCCGTTGATTCATTTGCAAATATTTTCTCCCATTCTGAGAGTTGTCTTTTCGTACTGTTTCTAGTTTCCTTTGCTGTGCAAAGCTTTTAAGTTTCATTAGGTCCCATTTGTTTATTTTTGTTTTTATTTCCATTACTCTAGGAGGTGGGTCAAAAAAGATCTTGCTGTGATTTATGTCAAAGAATGTTCTTCCTATGTTTTCCTCTAAGAGTTTGATAGTGTCTGGTCTTACATTTAGGTCTTTAATCCATTTTGAGTTTATTTTTGTGTATGGTGTTTGAGACTGTTCTAATTTCATTCTTTTACATGTAGCTGTTCAGTTTTCCCAGCACCACTTATTGAAGAGACTGTCTTTTCTCCATTGTATATCCTTGCCTCCTTTGTCATAGATTAGTTGACCATATGTATGTGGCTTTAACTCTGAGCTTTCTATCCTGTTCCATTGATCTATATTTCTGCTTTTGTGCCAGGACCATATTGTCTTGATTACTGTAGCTTTGTAGTATAGTCTGAAGTCAGGGAGTCTGATTCCTCCAGCTCCATTTTTTCCCCTCAAAACTGCTTTGGCTATTCTGGGTCTTTTGTGTCTCCATACAAATTTTAAGATTTTTTTGTTCTGGTTGTGTGGAAAATACCATTGATAATTTGACAGGGATTGCATTGAATCTGTAGACTGCTTTGAGTAGTATAGTCATTTTCACAATATTGATTTTTCCAATCCAAGAACATGGTATATCTCTCCATCTGTTTGTGTCATCTTTGATTTCTTTCATCAGTGTCTTATAGTTTTCTGAGTACAGGTCTTTTGTCTTCTTCAGTAGGTTTATTCCTAGGTATTTTATTCTTTTTGTTGCAATGGTGAATGAGACTGTTTCCTTAATTTCTCTTTCTGATCTTTCATTCTTAGTGTATAGGAATGCAAGAGATTTCTGTGCATTAATTTTGTATCCTGTAACTTTACCAAATTCATTGATTAACTCTAGTAGTTTTCTGGTGGCATCTTTAGTGTTATCTATGTATAGTATCATGTCCTCTGCAAACAGTGACTTTCCAATTTGTATTTCTTTTATTTCTTTTTCTTCTCTGATTGCCATGGCTAGGACTTCCAAAACTATGTTGAATAATAGTGGTGAGAATGGGCATCCTTGTCTTGTTCCTGATCTTAGAGGAAATGCTTTCTGTTTTTCACTATTGAGAATGATGTTTGTTGTGGGTTTGTCATATATGGCCTTTATTATGTTGAGGTAGGTTCCCTCTATGCCCACTTTCTGGAGACTTTTTATCATAAATTGGTGTTGAATTGTGTAAAAAGCTTTTTCTGCCTCTATTGACATTATCATATGGTTTTTTTTCTTCAATTTGTTAATATGGTGTATCACATTGATTAATTTGCATATATTGAAGAATCCTTGCATCCCTGGGATAAATCCCACTTGATCATGGTGTATGATCCTTTTAATGTGTTGTTGGATTCTGTTTGCTAGTATTTTGTTGAGGATTTTTACATCTATATTCATCAATGATATTGGTCTGTAATTTTCTTTTTTGTAGTATCTCTGTCTGGTTTTGGTATCAGGGTGATGGTGGCCTCATAGAATGAATTTGGGAGTGTTCCTTCCTCTGCAGTTTTTTGGAAGAGATTGAGAAGGGTGGGTGTTAGCTCTTCTATAGATGTTTGATAGAATTCACCTGCGAAGCCACCTGACCTGGACTTCTGTTTGTTAGAAGATTTTTAATCACAGTTTCAATTTCATTACTTGTGATTGGTCTGTTCATATTTTCTGTTTCTTCCTGGTTCAGTCTTGGAAGGTATACCTTTCTAAGAATTTGTCCATTTCTTCCAGGTTGTCCATTTTGTTGGCATAGAGTTGCTTGTAGTAGTCTCTTAGGATGCTTTGATTTCTGTGATGTCTGTTGTAACTTCTCCTTTTTCATTTCAATTTTATTGATTTGAGTCCTCTCCCTCTTTTTCTTGATGAGTCTGGCTAAAGGTTTATCAATTTTGTTTATCTTCTCAAAGAACCAGCTTTTAGTTTTATTGATCTTTGCTATTGTTTTCTTTGTTTCTGCTTCATTTATTTCTGCTCTGATCTTTATGATTTCTTTCCTTCTACTAACTTTGGGTTTTGTTTGTTCTTCTTTCTCTGTTTCCTTTAGGTGTAAGGTTAGATTGTTTATTTGAGATTTTTCTTGTTTCTTGCAGTAGCCTTGTATTGCTATAAACTTCCCTCCTAGAACTGTTTTTGCTGCATCCCACAGGTTTTGGGTCGTCGTGTTTTCATTGTCATTTGTCTCTAGGTATTTTGTGATTTCCTCTTTGATTTCTTCAGTGATATCTTGATTTTTTAGCAACGTATTTTTTAGCCTCCATGTGTTTGTGCTTTTTAGGTTTTCTTGCTTGTAATTGATTTCTAATCTCATAGCATTGTGGTCAGAAAAGATGCTTGATATGATTTCAATTTTCTTAAATTTACTGAGGCTTGATCTGTGACCAAAGATGTGATCTATCCTGGAGAATGTTCCCTGTGCGCTTGAGAAGAAAGTGTAATCTGCTGTTTTTGGATGGAAGTCCTATAAATATCAATTAAATCTATCTGGTCTAGTGTGTCATTTAAAGCTTGTGTTTCCTTATTAATTTTCTCTTTGGATGATCTGTCCATTGGTGTAAGTGAGATGTTAACACGCCCCACTGTTATTGTGTTACTGTCAATTTCCTCTTTTATAGCTGTTAGCATTTGCCTTATGTATTGAGGTGCTCCTATGTTGGATGCATATATATTTATAATTGTTATATCTTCTTCTTGGATTGATCCCTTGATCATTACGTAGTGTCCTTCCTTATCTCTTGTAACATTCTTTATTTTAAAGTCTATTTTATCTGCTATGAGTATTGCTACTCCAGCTTTCTTTGATTTCCATTTGCATGGCATATCTTTTTCCATCCCCTCACTTTCAGTCTGTTTGTGTCCCTAGGTCTGAAGGGTCTCTTGTAGACAGCATATATATGGGTCTTGTTTTTGTATCCATTCAGCGAGCCTGTGTCTTTTGGTTGGAGCATTTATTCCATTCACATTAAGGTAATTATCGATATGTAGGAACATACGTTTGTTTTGGTGATTTTTTAAAAACCTTTTTATTTTATATTGGAGTATAGCTGATTAACAATGTTGTGTTAGTTTCAGGTGTACAGCAAAGTGATTCAGTTATACATATGCATGTATCTGTTCTTTTTCAAAATCTTTTCCCATTTACGTTGTTACATAATATTTAGCAGACTTCCCTGTGCTATACAGTAGACCCTTGTTGGTTATCCATTTAAAATAGAGCAGTGTGTACATGTCAGTCTGGAACTTACATTTTAGTAGGTAAAACTGACAATAAACTGTATGTTAATTATCCTTTTTGTTAGATAGCAATAAATGATACGAAGAGAAAGGTGGGATGGGAGGGCAGGGAGTTCTGAGGGAAGAGTTATGATTTTAAATAGGTGGGGAAGATCTCACTAAGAAGGCGACAACTGATGAAAGATGTTTAGGAGGCAAGGGAGTGAGCGAGCCACGGCAGAAGAGGAAAGAGCGGTGTGAAGGCACTGGATCGGCACTATGCCTGACATGGTCTGGGCAGCCTTGTCCAGGAAAAATATAATGGAAGCCACATCTGGAATTTTAGATTGTCCAGTAGCCATATTAGAGAAAGGAAAAAGAGAAATGTGAAATTAATGTTAGTGATATTTTCTATTTAACCCAATACAGTAAAAATATTACCATTTCAACATATAATCAATGTAAAAACTTAGTGAGATAGTTTAGATTCTGTTTTTCCTACAAGTCTTTGAAATCTGGTGTGTTGAGTATCTTACAGCACATCTCAACTGGACACTAAATCTTCCCTGGAAATACCTGATCTGTGTTTAGAGCTCATAAAATTTACAGTTAAAAAAGTAGACTCACACACCCAGGTTGTTGCAAATATATTTAAAAGTTTTCCAATAAATGAATGGAGTATCATTTTTAACATGTAAGTTATTGAAAATGAAATACATTAAAAAATTCCATTACACTAGCCACATTGCCGGGCCTCAGTGGACATGTGGCCAGTTTCTACTGTGTTGGACAGCGCAGGTCTTGGCCAGTGAGACTGACTTGGTGAGTGATGGGGGCATCGAGGGAGCTGGGGGGTATGAGGTCAGAGAGGTGGGACCCACTGCGGGGTTCTGTCGGCCATTGTGAGGAGTTTGGCTACCACCTTGGGTGAAATGGGAGCAGATGGAGGGCTTTTGAGTGGAAAAGTAACAAGATCTGACTTACGTTTTAGTAGGATGGCTCTTGCTGCTGTGCTGGGAACAGACGAGCGGGTGGGGGCAAAGGCGTCCGGTTA